TCATAATAATGTGTGTAGAAAAAGGAATGTAAGAGAGTTCATATATACTGATGCAGAGATCTGTGGCTAATGAGCCACATATTGACTCTAATGGTGAGTTACTTTTGGGGGAAATGGAAAAAGAAGAGGAGAGGAATGAGAGAGAGAAAGGATAAAGTCCCCCAGTAGGCAGGAGGAGGAGAAATGCTGGGGGAACCCCATGCTGTTAAGCTCCAGGGGTCTGCAGCAGGTAGAAGGCCTTAGGGGTAACACCACAAGGGCAATTACATAGGAACAGCAGAGAAAATGGTGCCACTGAGGGTCCAGAAAGCACTCCCCTCACAGCTTGAGCAAAGGGATCAAGACACAGCTGAAGGGCTCTTTAGGCCATTCAAAAAGCAAAACAACAAAACACAAAATAGCTCTTGGTCTGTGTCATGAACACAAGTGTTTTATGTATCTCTAGTCATATATAAGATGTTTTTCCCTTTCTGAAACTCAGTTATGACTTTTTATGGTCACTTGATGCACTGGCTGCTGTTCATCATTGAGTAATATTGTATTAGCTGCATTAGAATTCAGTCAATAAATTTTACCATATCTTGGTTTGAACATGATAAGCTCCATGATTTTTTTCTTCAATACTTTTTTCCAATTTAAATGTTGCTATTTGTTTCCATTCTACTTGTCATTCTCCTTTACTCCTTATTAAACAGTTTTCCTTTCTAAAAATGGAGTGAATTGTTCATTTACTTCTTGAGCCATATATTGATAGCCTTTAATTTTGTCCCCAACCTCACTAAGAACATTCATTTCTGTAGTTAGCAGAAATGCAGTTAGCAGTAGTATCCATATTCAGCCATTTAAAAGTGAAATGAAATATGTCTTAGTGATTACTAACTGAAGGAAGTAAATTTTTTTGAAGGATAGGAAAAAATAGAAAAAGACTTTTAAAACTTAGTGACTTAATTTCATTTTGATTTAAATCAAAGAACCATGAACAAGAACAAAAAGCTTCTTTATATACTGCAATCAATATTTATGCAAGAAGGTGTTTGAAAGATGTGAAATGCCTAAGAGGGAACATTGAAAGGGCAGTTTAAATAATTCTTTAGAACTTCAAATGTACATGAGTTTGTTTTTAGATTTTATATGCTGAATTGGTTATCTTGCCTGAGAGAAGTGAACATTTTATCTTTTTATTCCACAGCAAATGGTAGAGAAGTGATAAGCTTGGTGTGTAGGGCTTTTTAGTTTGTTGGGGGGTTTTGGTGTGTGTGTGGATGTGTGGATGCTCACTGAGTATAGGGACTTTTTTGTTTTTTTACATGTATGATTCAGAAACTGCTGCATTTATTCACAGAAATCCAAACAAGCCTGTACAAGAGAAATAAATAAATAACCACTGCTGGGTTTGAGCCAGTGAGTACATTAGGAATTTTACATTTGAATGCAATAAATTATGAGAGAAACAATAAATCCTATTAAAAATGACATTTTAACTCTTATTTTTACATAGAATTATCTGATTGCCACAGTGTTTCTCTCCATAGAAAAATATTGCAAATCTTTAGAAAGGAAGAAAATCCTTTTTAAAAGATTTGCTATCTTTTGCAATCTAACTTCTCATATGATTACCAAACAAAAATTTTAATAGACTCTGAAAAAGATTTTTTCAGGGTTATGGAATTTTTGGTTGTATTTTTTCTGGTTTTTTTTTTTTTTTTTTTTTTTTTTTTTTTTTTTTTTTTTTTTAATTAGTTGGTTGGATGGCTTTTGTTTTCTGTTTAATGGTTCATTGTTTTTCTTCTAATTTGGGAGTTTAAATATCTCAAATTCCTCAATAAAAGGACAGGAAAGGACAAGGAAAGGAATTTAATTTACATTTATAGCAGGGAGCTTGCTTTTTAACACTTTTGATTTCTATGGAACTGAGGATTGATGCTTGCCATTGAAATCAGAGTATGACTGTTCCTTTAATCAGGCTGACCCCAGTGGAGATCCAATTTTGGATTTTGCTATAGAACATAAATTCAGTTAGTTCAGCTGTTTATTTGCAGCGTACCAACCCAGAAATACAAAGAAATAAGAAGTGATTGAAGAAAACACTATGGTGGTGGTAAGAAGCCTGTGTCATCATATTAAATGTGTAAAGAAGGTGTGTTTAGGAGATTGGGAGCGTGGGGGATTAGGACAGTGTCACCAGTTATAAATGTTTGAGCTTGTGCCTGACAAAGGCAAGAAATGAAGGAGTGCATTACTATTATAGTTTTTTGACAAACAGGGGGGTAGAGAATAACACCAGAAGGCCTATTTCACCTGCAAGTAAAACACTTCATTATATTCAGGTTAGTTGCCCAGACTTACTTGTTTTAGGTAAAGTTGATGGGAAAATAGTATAATACTTCCATTCTTCAGTATGAGATACTATTATGAGGTTCTTAAGGTTTTTTGTTGTTTTTTTTTTTTTTTTGTTGGGTTTTTTTTATGTTATGAAACATAAGTATAATCATCAACAAATGTAACTACAGGTATTATAAAATCCAGCTTTAATCCACATCTTTGGACTGTGTAATGACTTACTCATTTAAACCAGTCCATTTTACAATGGTAGTAAAAAATTCATTCAAGTAGGTAATTATAAGGGTAATAGAAAAATCTGGCAGTAAGCAAAAGCAGAAAAAAGAACAGTGGTTTCGAACACTGAACAGTTGGTACAAAAAAGGTTTCTTGGTGACAGCTAAATACAGAATAGGGACAGAGTCAAGCAACTCTTGTTCACTGTGTTCCCACAAATGATCTCACAAGCACAACAGCTTAGCAGGAGCTTCTCAGTACACACAGCAGGGTCTAGGTGGCACCAAGAATATGCTGCCCAAGGGTTGTGCGAGGGCATTGTTAGCCTCCTCCACTTCCCTGTGAGATGTCCTGAGTGAACCCCAAGGTGGGACAGTGAGTTAAAGCTTAGGTAGTACTGGACGCTGGATAGCATCCTCTTCCAACAGACTGAAAGAGCTGGAAAAGTGTTTCCTTGGTTTTAAATAGATAAAAAGGAAGTAGGAAGTTAAGAGATGAGAGCATGCAAAAGGAACAGTGCAATGAAAAGAAAGTGTGAGGATTGAGAAAGAGATGGGAGAGAATAACATGAGGGGGGGAATAAACAAGCTTTGCCATTTGGTCTGGAACTCAACTCCAGTTATGCCAATGCATGTTCTTTCCCGACTCTGTGCTAATCAAAGCTGGCAGAATTCTCTGGCAGTCAGATCCTGGGGAGCACAAAAGGCCAGAATTACTTCCTCTTATGTAGGGATATCCCTCTCAGAAAATGGGAGCCAGACATCTTGACAGTATAACCTAAGCTGCAAATGCAACTTCAGTCAAATGCAGAAAGCTGAACAATCAATACAGTCAAAAGCTACACTGGACATGGAAAATTACTGGCTAGGAGTATGATAAATGCATTCATGTGGGAGAGCACCAAGAATTTACTATGCCAAAAATGGGTTCTGCAAGCAGTAGTAAGAAAAAACTTGACTTTTGTAAAATGGACTCTGAGGGAAAGGAGAAAATAGAATGATTTGAGGAAAACTCCATAACATCTGAAAGGTCTGTACTGGAAAGTAAAGAGATATGTAAGTGTGGAGTAACCCATACCTGAAAGTCATACCAAAAACCTAAAATATGTGAGAAAGGAACATAAGCAATTGTTGCTTATTATAATTAAGAATGCACTGAGAATATTAAAATGCAAAGTAAAGAAAGTGACTGAACACTATTATTTAGTAGTAATGCTGTAGAACTAGCATGAAGAATGAAATAGAGAGAACCAGTAAACTGGTGACAGCAACCAGGAAAAGAAGAATTTCTAACTGGAAGAAGAAGCAAAGAAAATTAGAATCACTACAGAATCAGGCCTAAGCATCTAATCACCACAGAAAAAGGCCTAAGTGTATAGTATTATGGCTGAAAATATGGTGTGAGATGCTTTGTTCCTTATGGAAGATAAATATGGATGTATTGCAAGTGAGAAGGGTTTTGAGAGGCAAGAAACTAAAATTATGTAAGAAAAAGTCAGACAATGAAAGAGAAAACTAGAACTATATAATACCAATCACATAATACCAATCACATCTGTTGCTGTGGTTTGGCTTTCCACAGGAACACTCTCCTCTGTAACATCAGAGGTCAAGTTTCTGTTCACTGTGCTCCTGCTTATGCTACCTTTTCTGCTTGTGTGCAGTTTTGTGCTAATGTACTTCTCCATCTGGTGGGAGATATATCAAGGAAGTTTTCCTGCCCTGAAATTATTGCTAGAAATAGCTAAAAGCAGTTATCAGTCAGATATAATTGTAGTGAAATGCAGCTCAGGAGAAGAGTTTCAAAAATCTTGGGTACTGTCTGAGTATGGATCTTTCCCATTTTAACACTAACTCAAATAGCCTTGGCTGCTTAAAAGGTGTGTGTAGAGAAATTCTGTCTCGGGGGCTTGGATATTTATCAAAAACAGGCTACCTTCCTTACTACCTGAAACGAGATGGTGCTGGCAAAACAAGCAAGAAATAGGTACAGAAATTCTGTACACAGACCTGAGATGCAGTACAGTGAGAATAGATACAGCCTTTATTAAATATATGCATTATCTAAAAAGTAGCTAATGTTAAAAAAAAAAACCCTGAGCTCAACTCTCACTTGCTGGTATGAAGATTAATTAAATATTGGATGCAATGCTTGAGATTTCTTAGATGACACCATAGTTGTCTGAAGGGAGAGTAAAAAACAATATCCCAAAGCCCCTATTTTGAGAAAGATGTGACAGAATAACACTTAGTAAAACAGTTTGATAAAGGACATCCAGTGTGAATTCAAGCAGCAGAGGTGTTGCGTTGCGGTCCCCTTTCACCGCGACACTACCAAGCGCGGGCGTGTTGGGCGGCGAGGGAAGAGAACGGGCGGCCGGTCCCCCTTCAAAAGCTCTGCAGTCCCAGTTATCGGCGCAGGGAGAGATGGAGGCGGCACGGGACTTGGGGTGAACAGGTTCGGTTTATTTCGCGTGCCCCAAGACCCCTTGGGGGGGGCGAGCAGATGTTTTATACAAGGACTTATGAGGAGGGGTATAGGAACAGCAACCAATAGAGGAATAACAGGGGAGGAGTTTGGGGTAGGACTAACATACTAAACAGTCTGTGAAAGGGGGCAGGGAAAGAAGTGGGGGGAGGGGAGATTCACATCTTGGAGAGAAGGGGGTTAGGAGTGAGATGGGGGGGGGGGGGGGGACAGACACTGAAAGAATAAAGAACACACTCCCGCATCTCCCTCTTTTTCTTTTTACAAAAGAAGGGAGAATTCTGACATTTAAACAAATTAATACTGCATATAAACAATATAAACTTCATATGTAAAATACAACAAGATCATATAGTAACATTACAAATTGTTAAACAGAAATAAGTTGAAAAACATCAGAAAAGTACAAATTAATTACAATTACAATAAAACAAATTAATGTAGAAAGCGTATAAAATTGACATAAACAAATTCTGAATTCAGGGTAAAACATTTAGCAGGATTCACAGCTTGATCTGATTCGAAACTTGGGCTGTTGCGGTGCTGGAGATGTATAGCAGAGTTGAAGCAGCGAGCGGCGACATGGCTTGTCTGATTTTATTCTTTATTTCTGGAGTGGGCATAATACCGTGGGTATAAACTAAATAGGATGATCTTTCTTTCTATAAAATATAACTCAACAAGTAGATTATTAAATAAAAGGGAACATTGGGTAGGGTGCATTAAGGAGTGGGATAGGGGAATCAGACAATCACTTGATTAGTGACTGTCATGATTGATAAGGGGAATCGGTAAGGGGTGGACCAGGGTGCCGCCATCTCAGGGGGAAGACAAAATGGCGGGTTTCCGGTCCGGGGCTTCCGCCCCACCCTCCCTCAAAGGAGACCCCCCCCACCCGAGAAGGGGAGTGATCTTCCAAGAAGGGGGGTCCCCTGATGGGAGGTCCTCGACAGCGATCCGTCCCACCAGAGGAAGGGCCAGAAGAAGGATTAGGGAGCATCCAACCCCTCCTCCCCCCCACAGGGACTAGCCTCGCGGCAATTTTGATTGTCGGGACCCTTGGGGAGAGGGTGGGGATGGCGGGAAACCAGGGGCAGAAAAGAAGGATCATGGCGGGAAAACAGGTTCCAAGTGGCGTGGTCAGCGCCATCTTGTAAGGGGGTGCCGGGTGCACTGCCCCCCCCCCCAGAGGCGTCGCGGCCAACACCATCCTCAAGGGAAGGAAGCAGTGCCCGGCAGGGCGCCTGGGGCGGCTTGGCCGCAGCCATCCCCAAGGGAAGATAGGGAAAAGTTTAGGAAAATCCGAGGGAAAGAGGGTCTGGGGAGCTTCACAGAAGCAAAAGGGGAATTTACAGGAGAGGAGCCCGATGCAGCTGGATGTCGACACAATGCGTGGGTGTACAGGGCTTCTTTTACCAACTCCCCTATAGTTAACATGCCGCCTTCCAAACATTTGTCCCGTTTGTGCCTTTTCTACCCCCTCCGTCCAGCCCAGATTGGGGAGGAAAGGATAGAGAAGACGACTTTTTGAGGGGAAGAAAAAGCGATCAAATATGGGTCCCCGTAAAAGACTAGGTGAGGGGTGCCTGGGACCTCCCCCTGCCAGAAACGAAAAACCCACTCGCCCACCGGGCACATGCAAGAATACAGTTCCCGTCTGAGCACGAGTGAGGGTTAAAACGCAAAAAGAAAAAACTGGGAACCCAGACACCCGTCAGGATGGACCCCACCCCGTTTTAGCCCCCCTTACCCTCTGGGCCCCGGGTGGAGATGGCTTGATTCTTCTCCTTGACTTGGTGGAAAAGTCGCGCCGAACTGGGGACGTTCCTTCTCGGTTTGGCTCTTCCAGAGGCTTAGGTGTTCCCGGGACCTACAGGCAGGTCCAGCCAATCTCGGCTGCACCCAAAACTCGTCCCTGAAGCCTTGGGCTCAGCCACTATCGGCCTCTGGTGGTCTCGTTCAAGTGTCGTCCCCTGATGAGCTGTTCTCCTGGCTCCCTTGAGCCGCTGCCAAACCGCCCTCTTTTTTCTGGGGTAGGTCTACCCCCCCTTCAAAGCCCCTGCAGCACGTCTGCCCCAGTGCAGTACGTCTGATCTCGGTGGGGGTGGGGTAGAGCGCGCGGAGGCGAGAACAAAGACGGGTCCCGGAGCCGAATTCTTTTCGCTCAGTGCTCGGCTCCTCTTAGCGTCCGGCAGAGCTTCTACGACCGCAGATGTTCCTCTTCCCTCCTTCTTCTTCCGTGAGGCGGGCGCCCCCACGAATTTGCCCATTTGTTTTACAAGACGAAGGAGGGAACCATCCTCTTGCTACCATCTGTTGCGTTGCGGTCCCCTTTCACCGCGACACTACCAAGCGCGGGCGTGTTGGGCGGCGAGGGAAGAGAACGGGCGGCCGGTCCCCCTTCAAAAGCTCTGCAGTCCCAGTTATCGGTGCAGGGAGAGATGAAGGGGGCACGGGACTTGGGGGTGAACAGGTTCGGTTTATTTTGCGTGCCCCAAGACCCCTTACGGGGGGCGAGCAGATGTTTTATACAAGGACTTATGAGGAGGGGTATAGGAACAGCAACCAATAGGGGAATAACAGGGGAGGAGTTTGGGGTAGGACTAACATACTAAACAGTCTGTGAAAGGGGGCAGGGAAAGAAGTGGGGGGAGGGGAGATTCACATCTTGGAGAGAAGGGGGTTAGGAGTGAGATGGGGTGGGGGGGGGGGTGTGTACAGACACTGAAAGAATAAAGAACACACTCCCGCACAGAGGTCATGCTGAGCTAATCTGTTTGAGTTCTTTGAAGATACTAGTGGTAGGAAAGATAAGGAAAATTTAGAAGATCCATACATTTCAAAAAGAATTTTACAGGCTTTCACATCAGAGATAAATGCCTATGGAAAAAAACTCTGGAGGAGAAAATAAATGCAGGTGCTGGTTAAAATTATTTGAAAGTGATGCTTTATGAATTTCAGAGTTCAACTACATTCTCCTGATCATTCTGTTTTATGAAACTTAGACAATAGAACCAAACACGATATTGTTAATTTTTAAAATGGTTGCAGAAGGAGAGCAGAAGTGACTTAGGTTTATAAAATCAGTTGCTCAAAACTAGAGTCACTGGGATTAAGAATTGTCAGGAAACTATTTATGTTCACACTCAGAAAATCTATTACGTGATGACAACACAATTTTCCACAGCATTTGCCTTCTTTACTGTATAAAGGGTTTAGTACTCACTTGGCTATTTAATGATTTATTTTACCTTCTTTCAGCCTTGCGTCCTATTAATTATTACCACTTGCTTTGTGAATTAAGATAGATTTTTTTAAATTCCTCAGTGGCTTTTCCATAAAAGTTTCTAATAGCACAGATCTTACTACAGTGGAAGAATATAAATTCCATCTTTCAGTGATGGGGAAATGAGGCACTGAGAAATTACAGACAAAGCTGTCTCCTTATTTTGCATTGTCGTCTGAGGTTCCTGCAACATGACCTTTTATTGTACTTAATTTTTACAGCATTCTGTTTCAAAGCATAATGTGATACAGTTTTTGAAGTGCATAGTATTAAAATTCTGAAGTTAGAAAGAGCCATAAAATCACTGCTGAGAGCAAGCTTTTTTGCGTGTTGAGGAGAGAGGAAATGGTAATGTTGGGTTTTATAAAGTCAATGACACATTTTCTGATTACTGTTTCTCCTGTTGTTCCTGCACATTTTGCATAAGTGGTCCCATGGTAATGTGATGTAATCACTTTCAGTTTCTGTAATAAGGGTGTGCTACTGTTTCTTATTTCCAAAGGAAAACTTATTGGATAGTACATCATCATCTTCCTCTCTGAAGTTTAGTCCTGTCAGGAAGAGCGCAGTATTTTTAGCATTATTATGTTGGTTAAAATCTTTCTGCTTAACTTGATTGAAATCTTGTAACTTTCTTGTAATTGTCCCTTCCAATAAGTCTGTAGACTTTGTCTGATTGGAATGCAACATCTGGAAGAAAAATGTCTTTAAAGTGAATCTGGTAAACCCAAAGGTTTTAATTGAAACCCCTTGGAACTCATAGACTAAAAGTGTTGTATCACACTGCTGCTGTTATGTCAGCACAGTATGAGCAGGAAATACAAACATGTTAACCAAAGTGGGGTTTTTACTTCTTTAGAATCTTCATTTCATGTGATTGTAGCTTGTGGTTAACACTGGGTTTAGCAGTATAAATAAAGAGATCAGTTCTTCTTCAAGTTTCAGAGATTAAGTCATGAATACCTATTCCTTGACTGTCGCTTAATTTATGTCTTTTGTTGTAAAGTCTTTATTTGTCCAATTTAAATTGTGCTTTGTCTCTGTATTGAGTGAGTTCTTTCACGAGAGAGATTGTTGCCTGCCAAATACTATTTTACTGCAATATATAACAGGCTAAACAAGGCATGACTTTTTTTCATTTGCATGTCATATGTATCACCTGACTTACTTAATACAGGAACTGAATTAATAAATAAACAAAGGAATCAAAAGCCATAAAGCATTATTTTCTGGAAAAAAAATCTGTAGGAAACATACAACTACTGAAATATATGTTAGAGTTATGACTGCTTGTATTTACTGTATTCCCTTGCTTTGAGGCACATTTGCTATGGATTTTTCCCTGGGGCAACCAAACAGTCCTAAAATTACAAATTGGCAATAATGAACAGACAGAAAACAATGTGTATTTCTTAAATAGACATAAATCAGAGGTGTCAGTTGTGGGTATTTGAAAAAAATAAAAACAGATGTAGGGCATATTGTGAGGAAGAAATAGCAACTTGAAAGCCTTGAACATGCTGTAGTTACTGAATCTACAAAATGCATTGTTTTTACTTCTTTATATGAATCTCAAAACCTTAAGGTGAGGATCATGCTTGGGTTCTTGAAGCTGAGTTATCAAGAGATCATCATGGGACTTGGACAGTTTGACTGTTTCTATGTTTCTTTAATGTTGAGTTCTGTGCTATCACATAAGTAATGCTAGTATTTTAGAGTGATAAAATTCCATGAATGAAAATTGTCAGTCAGATCATCATTTTGATGTTCAGGCTTGTATGAGGCTTTTTTCAATCAAAAGACAGTGCTGTTAAATAAGTATTTGTGTTGTAATAATCCAGCTTGAATCATTACAAGTCTATTTCTGGAATTAGATGAGTAACAAGTTTTAGGTATGGATTTTGGGATTTGGTTTGGCTTTGTTAGTTTTTTCACAAAATGGACAAGGAAGTAAAAGGGAGAGAGGAGGCAGGGAGGAAAGAAGGAAAAGAGGGAAGGAGGGAATGGAACAAAGAAAGAGAAAGAGAAAAGAAGAGGAGGGGTAGAGACAGAAAGAGGGAAAGGAAGTGGAATAAAAAGAAGCCTCAATCAGTCACTGGTCCTCAGTTTCAATTTTGGAAAGCTTTCATTCAGATGTATTTCATTTACTCTTTCGCACTTTTTTCACATCTTTAAAAATTATTTTGCCTTACTGAAAAAGACATATATAAAAAACCAATCATTTCCTTTCATTGTTATTTTTCCTCTGTAAAAACAAGAGGATATTTTTGCAGATTTCAGACTGCACCTCTGTGCACTAACTCATGTGAAATGACGGTTATATCCTATATTCATTCTGGTTTGTACTTCACAATTTATTCAGGTTGTTAAAGTTCTTGAATTCATTGCTAGTCTTCTGGGTCTCCATGTTATCACAGGACAAAAGGAATGACCTCTATGGGTGAATTCCTTTTATTGTTGTTTTCTACATGGGTTGATGATGGAAGCCGATGGGGATGAGACACTAAAGCTTAAACAGTAAAGCTCTCTTCAAGGATGAAGCAGTAAAAAGTGAGGGTATTTTTCCTTTCTTTATAAATAAGAAAAATGGTTATACCTGATGAGTTTTAGCAATGAAATTGGTGAGCTGGAAAACCTCAGTCAGGTGAGAGGGCCTTTTCTCCAGTCAATTTTTGGAGTCTGCTTGATGGAATATGTCTATTTGAATAGAAGCTCAGTGTAGAAGGAAGATTTTATTGAGTATATAACCTTTGCATTATAAAAGAAAGTCTTGAAATTTAGAAGATAATTTGCCTTTAGGGAGTCTTTGTAAAATAAGAGGATTTTTATTTTTTAATAGAGAAAGTCTTTAGTAATATTTGAAAAGAAGATGACTTTTCCTATCAGTACCAATTTTGATTGTAGAAAATTATTAGTTCTTGCCTGAGGCAAGAAGCCAAATTATTTTGCTGTATTTCAGAAAAAATGTAATTACAGTATTTATTTCCAAATATGTTTTTTAGGAAAGAGTTTCACTGAACTTTATTACTATCAATGCCAAGGGAGAACCAAAATTAAGATTGGTATTAATAGGTGTAGCTGATACTGACCCCTTGCTTAAAAAGCCTGAAGAATCAAAAGGCTGGATGAGTAGACAGCACAGCTGGCTTCAGCATCATTCCAGAGTACACACAGGAATTAATTGAACAAATGTGCATTTTTTTTTTCATTAATTGAAAATAAAACATTTTGAGGTCAACATTTCTATCCTTCCTTAGCTAATAAATGTGTTGTTAAAAACCTTCATCTGCGAAGGACCTACAATCATATATACCTTGGAGACAGAAATGAAATTTTAGAATCATAGTTTCATTTCAGTTGGAAGAGACCTCTAAAGATCGTACAGTCCAACCCCACTGCCATGGATAGGGACATGTTTCAATGAACCAGGTCGCTCAAAGCCCCATCCAGCCTGGCCTTGAACTTCCAGGACAGGATATCTACAGCCTCTCAGAACAACCTGTCCCACATAACATATTTTATGTTGTCATCATTAAAGGAAAAAAAAAAGTTTATTTTATCGGATCTAAATTTACCCTCTTTCAATTAAAACTTGTGCCCCTCATCCTGTTACTACAGGCCTAGGTAAAAAGATTCTAACTTGCTTAGAAGCCTCTTTTATGTAGTGAAGGGAAGTGGACCTCTGGACCAAGTAGGAGGCAGTAGGATAACAATGGCTCAGAAAGATGGAGCCATTTTGGATATGAGTGCTTGCTAAAGTTAGCAGACATGTGCAAATGTCACAACTCAAATGTGCAAGAGGTCATTCAGAAGTAACAAGCAGAACCAGTGTGAAAAGCTTAAAAGCCCTTGGTGGTCAACTGAATATAAGTTGCAAATGTGCATTGCTTGAGCTGAGCTAAAGACTGTGGCTTGTAATCACACACCAGTGCCCTAGCAGAGGCTCCAGCAGAGGCCCTGCTCAGCCCTATTTAGTTCTATGTCATTGCAACCCATTTTTTATCTGAGCATTGAGGCTGTTCTATAAAATTATATCCATGCAACCTTATTTTCAAGACTTCTGCTCTTCGTTTCAAATGTGTTGTGCAAGAACATTGCCAGCATTTAAATAAGGAAAGTTTTCTGTTAACTTCAGCCTTATTGTAGATACTTGAATAACTGTTTTTTATTTACAAGGAAAATCTTTGGCAGCTGCTGAATATCAAGATGGCTGAAACCAGTGATTGTTTTTTTCAGTAGTCAGGAGGAAATAGGTTGTAGCAGTAATTTTCTGTGCACGGAATGGTTCTTGCAACCAAGGCCAGTACTTCAAAAATTTGTCAAAATTTTCCTAACTGCTTGCCTTGTCATAGGGCTTTTGTGATGGGAATCAGTTTAGCATGTTTTATTTTAAAAATGTTGATCTATTTTTGTATGTTTTTTCAAATGGGATTTTATTGGCAAAAAGTGAGAAATGTACCAGCAATCCAGGGAACTTGAGAGTTTTCCTGCTGAGCTTAATATAAGAGCAGTTCTCACTCCACAGGGGAACTCTATTTTATGCTAGCTAATGTCCACATGGTGGGTTTTTTTTTTTCATTTAGTAAAGAAGATGTTTTTGAAATCTTCTCCAGAGCCTGTTAAGAATTGCAGGAAAGCTC